GAAGTCACAGCTGCGATGGCTTGGGCATGTGTTGCGAATGCCTCCAGAAAGGAAGGCTAAACAACTGTTCTTTGCAAATCCGACCGGCAGAAAGAGCAGGGGACAGTCAAGGTTAACCTGGTGCAAATATATGGAAGAAGTCTGTTGCAGACTCCAGTTGTCTTCCACCGAAATTGAGACTGTGACACACGATCGTGAACGTTGGAAGCACTGTCTGACGCGTCTGCCTGCGCGTCCCGAAAGGAGGTGCGGCCATAGAAGATGAAGAGGAAAACAGAAATTTATTGTCAGCGAATTAGGAAATTGGCTAAAAGGGTTTTCATGTGCTTTTATTTCAGACGCCCTTCTTGTGCCATAATTCGTCATGTCTTTATTTTGCGGCTTGCCACTCTTCTATATAGAATTGACGTTAGATCAGTACTTTTAGTGTGTACGCAACTCCGTATTGTCGAAAGTGATTCCTTTCATGAAAAGTATGGAGTTAAGGAATTTGACTGCTTCATTACGTCTTCTGGTTTTAGTTATCAACTACGCTGGGTGCATCAACGACTGTTGCATTGACTTCTTTCATAACATGGTCATTGCGTGGGCGTTGTTTATTTATTTAGTTCGTTCACCGCTACTTTGCCGTAGCAGTCTTGCAGCAACACCTGAAACACTGTTAACTGCTCTAATGCATAAGCAATCAAACCGGAGACTGCAAAAATCGCTAGGAAAAATCTGCAGCTGAACGGGTTTATACGCATGTTCTTTTTCTGATGTGTAAATAGATAACTGGCTTTTGAAAAATCAAATCTTGGGTTCTTCATGTGGAAAGTGAACAACAACTGAAGGAGGATGGCGTATAAGGAGAACATACATACCACTGTAATGGTCGTGAAAACCTGTCATGAAACTTTAGGCAGTCGACCAACGAAGTCGTGATAACTGCAGTCTGACATGCCTCGTCACAACATAAAGATAAATTTGTACAGCTACAAAAAATATTTGCCATCTAAAAATATTTTAAAGAATGGACGGAGGCATGTCAATTTTTATTGAGCGCAAGATGATTTTCCGCCATGCCGTCTGCCTTTGGTCGAGAATAAATGAATGAAATGTTAAATGAAACAAATGACGTTATTTATAAAGTCGTCACAACAAGTAAATGTTATCAGCTTTCAATTACAGTAGTTAAATTAGGTTCCCGCTTTCATGTTATACTGCCACCACTTCAAATCACCGATGGTACAACAATAAAGAAATTTAGGTTGTATGTCCAAGAAATCGACAATCAGCTGGATTAGAGGATCTTGGCGAGATCAAGTTGTCGTTGGTGCTGTGCCTAGCAACCGTTTGTACAATCGTCTACTTTTAAATATGGAAGGGGCTAATCAATTTAGAAGAGGTGAAAATCTGTGTCGCCTATCCATGCAGTTAAATACCGCATTTTCATTTTCAGATTGTCTGGGTCATAGCTCTTTTGCCTTATATTATTGGTACGGCATTGCTGATTCACTCATTTGGCCTCCATCACCAGTGTCTGCTATTACCTGACACCGCGGTGGCGCAAACTAATTGAAGTCAAGATCCTGCACACTGCAATTAATTAAGCTAAGTTATGGTTAGAGCAGGTTAAACTAATTAGAAATACATATCCATTAATACAGACATAGAACCGGCATGGAAATGTTTTTAAGCTTTATGAAAAACCTCGTTCATTACTTCATTCGACTTGACCTCGTTGCGACGCTAGTCAAATCTTCTCCTTTCATGAGCGCTTTCGAATGAATGGTTGCTATGTATTCTATTCAGAGTAACAAGTTTCATGGACTATTGCCCATATCTCACCATCCGTAGTTGATTCCGACAGATTTATAGAAATAAAGCGCGGACGGACATCATGTGCAAGTGGCGGATAACCACCGTCTCAACTCCCCCCTCCCCACTTCAGCAGGAGATCATTCTTTTTACAGAACCTTAAATCACGGAATAAAAAATTACGAATTTAGCGACATGAAGTTGCCAGCTGATAATGTAGGAAAAATTCGAAGAGCCACACAGAGAAGAAAGTCGAAATTGCATATCATGTCCTTGAAAACGTAGAGCCGTTATTTATAAGATCTGAATTAGGACAATAAAATTAAAATAAATTGGGTCACTCGACAAGAAACGGCATAAAATTATGCCATCTGTGAATTTTTGCGACATGCCATCCAACTACTGCGAGAATTGTACACAACGTAGCAATCCACAATTTTAACAGGAGCTTCTGGGCCAGTAGCTTATCAATCAATGGAAACGATGCATTACAGCTGCTCACTGTTGTCCATCTTATTCTACATCGCTAAAGATGCAAGGACGGGTCAGCCTTGGAATGTTCATCAGACATTTCCAGCCTAAAATGAAACTTTGGTGTACTGTTCAGTACTTTGCTATACTTTCATTTCAAGATGAGCGAAACGGTAATGGAGAGACTCACTGTCTAAAACAGACACTTATAACCTCGTTTAACTGATGAAAACGGAAGTGACGAATGCTACCAGACAGTACCCGCAGGGAAAGTTTAAAATGACGCATATAGGAGCAACGAGTCATCTATGACCTAGTTTCGAGTATTAGGAAGTATACACTGAATAATCAAATCCAGGAGCTAATTTGTCGAGAAAACCTAAATTTAACCTTGTAAATGACTACTGCGAATCGTATGGAAGTCCCCAAAATCGAGAAATAAGTCATGTAATAACTAGCTCTTAAAGAATGTGCAGAAGGAAACTGCAATAGCTTGGTCATCTAATAAAAATGAATATTGACCGTGTGCAGAAGGCAATGCCATGAGAACATCGGTCACAGAAGAAGTACGTAGGTATCTCTGCCATCCGATAATAAACGGACTTCCGGATCACTCATGCCAAGAAGGTGCTATATGACCTAAATTCAAAGGAACCTACAGTGCTATTTTTCCTCTGATTAATTAATTGGTTGTGATGAATGATAAAAAATGAAAACATTCATTACTAAATGTCTCACTTTGACGACAGTATTCATAGCTTAGTTTATAAAATGTATGAAACGGGCATCTTAGAGTAAGATAAACTAATGGAATTATACTTCATGAATGGCAGGATTGAGATTAATGAGATGTGGGCTTACAAAGGAGGTTTACATTTATTTTCTGTTATTTAATTAAGCATCAAATGAGATAAATTTTCAGCAAAATACGTAGCTCTACGGCTTATATATAGTCCTTCAGCTGCAGGTAGTCTTTTATTTACTTAACTATAACGGACTCTCTTGCCGATAGCGTTCTGGAACTTGCTGACTGATGACCGTATGACTTCAGTGGGCTGACATTAGTAACTCATGTAAAATTACTGGAAACCCTTGACGCCTTCCTTTAACAGCATATTTGAATCATAAAGCTAGATGAGCAACTAATGGTCACCACCTGGAAATAGACAAATTGCTGGTACACTGAGTCATTGTCGTGAAGTACGTTTTTCCTGCAACAGCTATGCTAAAACGGTATACTTTCTATAGAGAAGAAATCTGTGACTGTTTCTGCACTGTCCTTGGACCCTGTTTCTGTTGCTGCAATGCGGCTGGCACATTATTAATTGTAGCCCTTTACTAAACTATATTCACTTAACAGAATGATGATTTGTTTCGTTCTGAGCAGTAGGATAGAGTAGCTAAATTTATAGGTCTAGAAACAAAAATGACGCAGCAACAAACATTTTCTTTTCCTTGTACTTTGAATTCGGTTTTTCGATCACGCTGGCCAACTACAACAATCTTCACAACGACTATCACAGGTAAACTAATGTTGCCGTATGTCTCATACGTCCGTACGTGGAGTATGGGATGGTAGGGACGCAATCGCTGCCAGAACAATCAACTGCTTCACCAGCATCTTGTGTGGCTTCGTCATTTTCTCAACCCTCGGCTACATGACACATTTCCTGAAAAAAGATACATAGACGGAGGCTAGCGACGGCGGTGCTTTGCGACGTCACCCTGTATGAACTAAAGCTGTGACATTGCAGGTCATGGTTTGATGCCCATCGTCTATCATCAGGTGATAGCGACCATGCCAAAAGCATCCCTCTGATCGGCTACGTTCTTCATTATTTCTTAATTAGTCCTGGATTGGACATTACGGTAAGGCGTTTCATTTCAGAGTTGGTTGAAGTTGAAACCGTAAATATCCATTTGTAATTTGCCGATATAAAAACAGTGGTAACTACGCTGCGACGAATATTCATCTCTTCTCATTAGTCATCGGAAGGGGTTCCCTTTAGGATTTATAATGCTTATATTCGTAATTACTCTTCCTACAGTTACGACCCAAGCTTGACATCTGATCTGACGAAATGACAACTTGTCTAGGTTAGAAATGACGTCTTGGAGTGTTCCAGTTTCTATGGAGTCAGCTATTCGATCTTTGTATTTGTCATCGCGAAGATAGCACTCATTTCATTCACTTTGGATAAGTCGCAATGGAAAGTCCTGCGATAGACTTGTGATAGAAATTAGGTGTCAGAAATCTGCTGAACGCAATCGAACAAGCGCTTGGATTTCGGCATATTATTCTATGGACAATTTATTGGGTACTTTTCAATCCTCTTACAGTGCTTGTAAGAAGTGTATGATGCATTCAGTATCAAAGATTGCGAACGACTTCCATTTTAGCTAATCGTAATTTCCGTGTTTTCGAACATGGAGCCGCTACGGATTTATGATGACGGTTATCCGCAATGGTCGATTGTCGTTGGATGGTTGATTCGAATTTCCTCGTTTATTGTGATACCGTAAACCAGCAGGTTAGGATTTGCCTATTTTGAAAACTTGAAATTAATTCATAAGCTTTTCCAACTACCATTTTTCGTGACGAAGACAAGTGACTTGCATTCTCAAATAATATTGCCTGGAATGATGAACATATAATTGAAGCTTGCGTTTTTATTTAACAGGTCTCCAGAGTGAACCGCAACATTGAATTTGTTCGTGTTTATCGAGCACATGTGATATGTCGTTATTTGTGCCGGGAGGTTTAACAGGAGCGAAGCAATAACTTGGATGTTTCGATACTTTCTGCGGTTATTGTCTCATTATCTATATCTTCTTGAACAAGATATTTAAATACATCCAAACACTTTCACAATTTTTAAAATTTATTTTTTTCCCTTCTTAGGCAAATTTTTAATGCAATAAGCACATTGCCATGCAAAAGAGCGAGAAAGGTTTGCTAATATAAACTGGTTTTAATAACCAAAAACAAATTGCGCATGCAGATCATCTTAGCAAGATAATCGCCAAGAGACTGCATTCATACAGACTGCTACAGTAGTAAAATCGACTACCGACTGGTTCAAATGATGATTAGCAAGCCAAATTTACAGATTCTGTATAGCAGTCCAGGAAATTAAACGGGAAAGAATACTTTATCGGCAGCAATGCAGATTGCATTTTCAAACAATTCCTGTGCAAATCTTTCTATGGTAAAGTTCGTAGCAAAAATGCTATCGAACGATCGCGATGAGGAAACAGGATAACTCTAAATAGAATAAATTCTCAATCGACGATCACAATAAACACGGAGAACTGATCGAATTACGTTTATGGACAAATAATTAGTTAGTATCAATCCAACATCCGTCATTAGATTGTTAGCTTATAGAGTGTTTCTTGAAAATCATAATCTTAGTGATTTTTACCCTTTCCTCACTAGCTAGTAGCCGCATTTTTCGATGAAAAAGCATTTCCGGAAATTTTATTACCTACGAAATGAAGTTTTGCACCAGAAGTTCACAACAGCTCGATTTAAAGCCGCGTAAAGTTTTACATGTCTACCGATTGGTATCTTTACTGCAGGTTGTACGTCAGAAAACGATTAGCATGCGTAAAATGGCCGGAATAGCCTATCAGCAGTCACATCTGTTGCATGTCAAAAACAAATCCAACGTCTTGAGAGGAGAATGTCAGGATTTAAACAAATTTCATCGAAAACAATTTTTCACGAACCGAATCGCAGACATAGTGTCAGCATTTAATTCAATCAATTTGCGATTAAACAGCTCTGATTCCCCTTTGATTCTGCCAATCATTAAAATGTGATTGTCTTCTTTGGCAAAAATGACATTCAAACTTACTCTGAAAGACAAGATCAGCAACCTTCTGCAGTCAGTGAATAATTTATGAATTGAACAGATAACGCAAATCTTCTTGCAGTCCTACTACGGCACTGAGGGGAAAAGAGCAAAATTATTTAAAAGCAGATATCTATTATACAGCCACTAGTTTAAAATTGAGGATGGGCCTAATCACTGTGGATGCTAGATAAGATACTTGTGCTTGCAGGAACTAATCCCTCCATGATGCTCAGAGTTCGTTTACGACAGTGGCAGTGAAATACAGTTTTGGCTGAACATTGCCACATATCACCATGACCAAAAAAGAAACAAGTTCTTTTCTGAATTCACGCTGAGCCATCGTATACAGAAGATCGCT